AATTTCACTGTTAGCCTAATTAATTTTGTCAGTAAGCAATCTTTCTGGCTACATAAACTACACCTACACTGACAGTCCATACAGAGGAGGGCGTGTGTATGTGGCAGTCATATACTTCCCAATTTTGAACATAACTCAGGAGTGATATTTTCAGTGGCTCAGTTAGAACCCTTGCGTGGAGCTTCTCTCCAGGTGGCTTGCCCCTGGGACTGAAATGACATGGTTTCGCTCGTGTGGTGCCTGTTTCCAGACTATTTCTTCTGTCTGTCCCGACCCTTCTCCAAAGAGCTGTATCGGGAATCCATTCATTTTCAAGATACACATTTCACACTTCCCCATCTGCCACTGTTGAGAAAAAATAGTGGTGATTGCTAAGACAGTATGGCCTAAATATTCTTTTAAAGCACCGAAACCATATACAGATCTTATTTTAAATTGTATTGTAGTTGACTTTAAAACAAGGTCACTTGTTAGGTTAGGAGTATGTGGTTACTCTTTATAGGATTTCATACTGGTATGTTTAACTGCTTTCTGTCTTCTCAGTGAACCATTGGAAACGGTCACTTTAAAGTTGGTGTTTGCTTCTGGGTTTGTTTTTTTTCTTCCCTAGAGCCAGCTCTTTGTTGGCAGATGAATGTGTAATGTTTGAGAAATTTCCAAAGTGAATAAAAGGAAAATCTATGATAAATATATAATATATAATATGTATATATTACTTGTGTCCGTGTGAAGACTGAGAAGCAGGAGTGAGGAGTGCTTTCGGGAAATACCTCCGTAGGCTCCAGTTTTGAACTATCCTCATTATAATAACCTGGCCTTTGTCATAGGATGACAGATCTCAAACACTTCCATCCAGGCCCAACCAGAGACCCATCGATCTAAATAACGTTCCTCCGGTGATTGTGCGGGTCCCCGTGTTTAAATAACAGCGCCCCACCTCAGACTTTGACTTTGCAAAGGCATAAGGGAACAGGGCCTTGTCACAGAAGACCAGGCCTGGGTAAGCGGTGGCCCCTTTGGTCAGCCCTGATCTGGACGCACCGCCTCCCACTCAGTGCGGCCCAGGCGCTACGCCCAGTAACCACATTAGCAGCACAACAGCAACTAAACATTACTTTCAAATGTTAGTCCAGTCTCCCCAATCCCCCGGGCCTTATTGGGCATTTATTGCCACAACTATCACAGGTTAGGAACGGGCCGCATCAGGGGACCGCGGTAATTTGGGAGGAAAACCACCTGAGCCTGTCGCCCCGTAATAGACAGCCCAGGAATTCACACACCCACAGGTCAAGGAAGGGCACTTTGCTCTTCCGGGCCCAGCTTACATCTTGGTAGACTTTTACGTGGAAAATGTTTCCTTCGTTTCAGTTTGTAGTTTCGCCTGTTTTTGTTTTGTTGTTCTTGGTTCGTTTTGAAAAAGAGAATGTCTGGTGATTTACTTCTTGGCTCTCCTCATTCCATTTGGAGCATTGCAAACGGTGCCGTGGTCAGAAAGGGATTTAGAAGCCGGTGAGTGCCGCCTCTGGAAAGGGCCCAACTTCTTTGGAGGTCTTTGTGGTCCGAGTGACGGTAGTCAGCCCAAACAAATAAGCTTTTTGTCGCGAGCCCCCAGAAATCCTCTCATACTAGCAACACCGTGATAAGTTGGAGTGCTCGGCTAAGTCAGGCGGCCATGTTATGTTTTCTTCCACAAAACAAAATTGTCTCAATTTCCAAAAAGTCAGCAGAAAGCTCTTTTTAGTATTAAGCTCATCTTGCTCGTTGAAAATTACCAATAATCCTGGCAGTAGTTTCCAAAGCAGTGATGAATTGGATTTCTTCTATGATGATGAAAGACCCGCTTTCTCCCCCATTTAGACAGGTGGCCAGATGCCGCGCTCATGGCCCCGCATGCCCTGCATTGCTGGGAAGACTTGCATCTTTGTCGGCCACTTCCCTACTTGGATCCCTAAGAGGCGTGCAGCCCTCTGGATAAACTCGTTCCAAGAAGCAGGTGTCCCGGAAACCCGGAGAAAAGCACCATTTTTATTTGTCAGCTTTCTGTAACCACAGATGAATACAGTAGACAGGAAGGTATACAGTGGGCTCTGTATGCCCGTGTACTTTGCACTTGGAGAAAGAAATACAGGACACTGATCTGAAAGCAGGCCTGAGGAATTCTGTTTCTGACACTTCCTAGCTGTGTGTCCTTAAGCAGGTGATTTAATCTCTCTGATCCCTATTTTCTTCCTTTGTATGTGAGCATAATTCCACCTACCTTCCTCCAGGTAATTTAAAAAGTTAAATGTATAAAATGCCTAGAAATTGTGCCCAGCACATTTATAATTACCTAGTAAAGTATGAACATTATCATTGTTATTGGTCCCTCCATGGCCACATGCAAACACTGAGGCCCAGAGACTGAAGGAGTTTTGCTCCCAGATCCCAGTGACAGTGGAAGGTGTGACTGGTGGCAGAGTCAAGACCTGTGGCATTTTGACCAGACTTTTCAAACTGCAGGCATGATTTCATTGAGGACCATTATACACAGCAGCTGACATCCAACACACCGACCTCAAAATCCTTAATTTGTTTTGTTACTTTAAGGGTTTGTTTGTTTAACTTCTCCTGCACACCTTCATCATCTTATGGTGGCTGCAGATGGGCCGTGCAGACTTGGGAGAAATCCTAGATTAGGGTTACAAGGAGCCTCTGAGGTCATTACTTCATTTAACCACCTGCCTGGTGGGTTTCATATTCAGATTCTCTTTTGCACCTGAGTTATAAGCAGGTGTGCTTAAAGGACCATGTGTTTCATGCACATGTTAGTCACACCACATGTGAAACTGAATTTGGAAAAAGCCTGTTTACAATGGTAAAAATGTTCTCTGTGGGTTTATTTAACAAGTACTTTCTGCAGTAGCTGTCTGTTGCTCCTTTTCTCCTCTCAGAATTGCCTAGAAGAGCCCAGGCATGCACATAAATTGTTGCCATACACAAAAGAAAGTGCAGAGGGTTGTCAGAGGCAGAGTCTGGGGAAGGCAGAGCTCCCAGGTGGGGGAGACAGTGCAGCCTTCACAAAGGAGACGGCCCCTGAAACGATCTTGATGGACGACGGCGGGTCACCATTGGCTGAGACTTGAAAGCTGTCTTCAGAAAACCCAACCTGTTCCTGAGTTAAGGATGCTCTTCAGGTGACTAACCTGCTAACAAATTGGGAGAGCAGTCCCAGCAGGTGCCACAGGGACATGAACGTGAAACTGTGTTTTGTTTGAATGAAAACACCCCAGAAGGGAACCTCAGCCGTCTGAGTTAATGCCGGCAATCTCCACGCTGATGTTAAGACCCGAACCGTACAGGAATATGTTTATGGCTGCCGGGCAATGTATTTATGAGTATTTGACGACCTGGAGGTTAATCAGAAGCCATTGGATGATCTCAGAAACATTCTTAATGAACTGCAGTGGGTATTATCATCCTGATTCAGCAGTCTGTAGTATTCGAAGTGGCACTTGAGTGAGCTCAGAATTCAAGGCTGAAGTAACATTCCTTTCTCCCAGAGCCACACTCACACCGTTAGTCTCTCAGCCCGCTAGAATGTTCTTTCCAAGCTATCATCGAGTGCCAGTTTGGAATAGTTTGTGTGATATTTAAAAGGAAGAAAAGCACTCAAACCTTTGATACTTTGAATTTTCAAGTGGACCATGTTTGAACTTTTTCTACAAGCCGGAAAGTTGAATCCACTGAAGACTGCTACACAAAAAGATTGTATATTGTGTTTTTGTGAAAATGACTTAGGTTAAGCTTTGAAAGGATCTCTTTAAACATATTTTACCATTACACACAAAAAGCCATCAAATGACGACTTAATGGAGGTGGAGGGGCTTAAAATCATAACTCACTTGGAGTAGATGAGCAAGTGTGGATTTTTACGCCTCTTACTAGTTTTACTCCCGAGAGAAAACACCAGTAAATGAAAGTTGGAAAAGTTTTCTCCAGGTGAACTATTTACATAGGAGAAGCTTGGGTACACCAGTGGGTGGCGTCTTTCCCAGATTTTGCCACATCGCCATCACCTGTCTTGTCACCTTGTGGTTTCCCTGCGAGCATTAAACCACCGTGCCATCCAGACCTCCCCTTCCCCAGGCCCCGGGCCCAGCAGAGAAATACCCTTGCACCACAGTTGTCTCCTTCAGACGCACAAATACCCTTGGCCTCTTGCAAGAGTGAGAAGTTTGTCTTTCATAGAGCGGACACACAAAACTAGTGAAACCAAGTCACCAAAACTTTAGGTTCGGGAGTCTGCGTCGCAGTCAGGGAGGGATGACCCGGAGCCTTTTAGGGACACTTTCAGCCAGTCTAAGCTCCCTTCCTTCCTGTCGCAAGAAATCCTACAAAAAGAAGCGGGAGTCTGAGGTTTACTGTGTGATGTCAATATGGGGAAATGGGTGTGTTTTATTTAATAGTACCTAATTTCAGAACCTTGAATAATCAGGTTGAAGCGTTTAGAAATGCTTTCTCCTATATTCCTTATATCAGAAAACTTAGGTCAAAGGAAAAAAATTTTAAGTAACATTCCCACACTGCCCATTTGATTTTCATCCCTTGACTTCTGGTTTTTGATACGAGTATACTAACTACTTAATGCCAATAAAGAGTCAAATCTTTTTTAAATGTTAGAAGTTAATTTTGCTTGCTTTTGTAATTCCTGTTCTTATTTCAAGCTCCCCCTTTCTTGCTTATATTCGTCTATAGAAATCATAACGTGGAACACTTGACATGACTTAAAATGTATAATTTACTTGTGGAATCTATATTATTTGGAATTTTTACACAGTGTTTTAAGTCATTACTTAGCAAGAGTTCAGCCTCTCTGTCCAGGAAATCAATTATTTTAAGCAAACACGGAAAACAGCAGCCCCACCCCTTGCATATGTGCATTATGAGAAATGACCCCCGGGATAGAGTGTTGCCCGCGTGCACGGTCAGTATATGTATACCTGTGCTCTCTCTTCACACAGGCAAGGCAGTTTCCCGGGCATGAACCAGAGTGGACTTATGGCTTCCAGCTCTCCCTACAGCCAGCCCGTCAACAACAGCTCTGGGCTCATGAACACCCAGGCACCCCCCTACAGCATGGCGCCCAATATGGTGAACAGCTCAACAGGTAACCTAGGCGGCTCTGTGCCCTGAGCGCTGCCCCCCCCCACCCCCAGCCCTTTCCCTCTTTTCCTCTTAGGCCTGCACCGGTGAATGTACAGAGACAACAGCAATGGAATCATTGGGTGAAAAGGGGGGAAAAGTCCACTTTTCTGTGCCTGGAAACTTGCTCAACCTATGTAACTACTGTTAAGAGTTGAGGGTCACATTATGTTTTATGTAAATTCTTTTTCCGCGCTCTGTTTTTGCAACGTGTGGACGTATTCTTAAGTGTCGCTGGGGTTGCTTGCTCACTGCATACACTATGTTCTTTTTGTCTTTGGGTATCATTCAAAGCATTAAGAGATCCCAATGACAGAATGGATCCTCCATTCGGTAGTGACGGTGCTGAACACTTAAAAATCATATTTCAGGGGCAGAACAAGGGGGTTTGAAGTACTTTTTCACCTTGAAATGTATATGTGGAAATAGTTGTTCCTTAAGTGCTATTTGCAGATTGTCTCCATTGAGGAATCGTATACAATTTTGTTTAATGCGCTGTTTTAAATTTTGTGTCACGTTTAATTGTTTCAACCCACTTTGTGATGCCAACAACTGCGTTCTTACCAAATCCCATCTGATTGGTGCAGTAAGAGTACTCTCTCAGTTTGTGGAAGTATTGAAAATGTCTAGACCTGGGCAAATCGTCTGTGTCCTTGGATTGCTTAGACCCTGAATCACCTCCTCAAGCCCCAACTACCCAGCAGTGAGCGCTACTCTTTACGTGAGGAAACGCTGTGGATCGCAATTGACCTGTTCCTTTCTAGCACCGATTAGAGTGGTGACCACTGTTCGGGTAGCATTCTCTCCTTTGGTCAACACAGAGCTTTGTGTAGCCAGTCATGTGTGTCCCGCACTGTTTTATGATGCATTCGAAAAGCACTGTGGAGTTAGAGGCTTGGCTTTCTCTTACGACCTTTTTTCATCTCCTCTGCCTTTTGCCACCTTGCTGACCTGTCCATCTTTGAAAGGCCACCCCAGGAGCTATTGTTTCTTTGTCCGGCCGAACAGACAGCTAGAGGCTGGGCTGGCATCCCGGCCAAGCTTCTGAGGGGTTGGCTTCTCAGGTCTAATTTAATAGGGCCATTCCCTGATTACGTCTCTTAAAAGCATGTGGAAGAGGGGAAAAAAAGAGAAACTAGTGGAGAAAATGAAGGTTTTTAAATAAACAGAACAGCCCTTCCCGATACCGGTCATTCATCCCAGCGAGGGGGATGTTTTTACATTCGAGATGAAAGGGGAAGGCTCTTGAACAGTCTGTTAGCCAGAAGCTTCCCTTCCCTTCTCAGCACTGTCCCAGGTAACAGCGTATTTGGGTTATGACATTATGTGTTTTGTCTGGCTTGCTGAAATAAAATTACTTCAGAGCATTGAAACTACACAATAAATTTTCACCTACTCATTTTTCCCCTTTTCCTTTGGACCCCAGAGCCACAAAAATAACCAACCACAAACAGATGGCACGGTGCCCTGCCTAAGAAGATTTATGTGTTCCTAAGGAATAACCAATTTAATGGAGATTCACAGAGAGGGTTTCTATTTATTATTATTATTATTATTCAGATAATTCAGAGGAAAACTGTTCGACAAAAGGCCGTTTATCCTCACACACTTTTGTATGGGCTAAGTAGTAGTTTTGTATCACATGGTATATTTGGAGATATTGAATTTTTAATAATTTAAGTATTTATCAAATTTTCCTCTACACATTTATGTGATTTTTTTTTTTTTCCCCAGCTCGGTTAAGTCCAATGCAGCCTGATAGAAAGTAGTCATCTAGCACATCCGAGGAATAGGGATGATTTAGCCTCTACTGCGTTATCTGTTGATAGGCACACGTCAGTCCGCTCTCACTGTGTTACAATCTCGGAGGGAAACGGGAATGACAGGGGAACCCAGAACGTTACCGAGTGGCTCCTGACGGGTCTTGGTCGGAAGGTGGACTCTTGACTTTCCTAGAGTTGGGCCAAAAAAAGGCTATGACCAGCATCACATCACTCTACTTGGTCTGGGCTCTTGCATATCAGTTGCCGGTGATAACGGCAAAGCATCTCCTCTACCAAAGGACCTTTTCAGAGAAAGTGAAGATGACACCCACAGTGTCCAGGGCTGGGCGTGGGACTGGCTGAGCTTCTGTTAACAGCTTATGCGGCAGACGTTCCAGCACCCTCTTTGCGGAGTTCGAGCCGTTGTGCTGTAGACAGTGTACGGGGCCAAAAACAGTCTCCCTGTGTAGTGACAAATTGTTACAGGCTTCAGTGAGCAAGTAATTATTCAAATGGAGTCAGTGTGAGTATGAATGTGACAACTATTTCTTCATTTTAAAATGCAGGGGAGGTGGGGTGGTAAGCAGTGGGGGGATTTGTTCCCTCTAAAGGAGCTTTTAAAAAAAGAAACTATTCACATTAAAAGATTAGAATTATGTAATGCTATGGGCAAAATTATAAATCACATATAGCCTTGTTAAATACACCCTTTTATATGATACTTGCGTTACTGGTTATATGATACTTGTGTCTCATTTTATAATATTCATTAGTCATATACTTGTCTTTGTATAAGCCATCATCTTAAAGAAGACATCTAAATTCCAGAAAATGTATCTACCATCTGTCGTTCTAAGTTTGCCTCCCTGGAAGTCGCTCTGCAGAATGTAGGACATTTGCATCAGTATAACCTACAGATAGCAGATGAACAGCCACACACTGCTGTTATCAGGCCTTCCTATTGTACAAGAGCCCCATCAGATTCCAGATCTTCCTGCCCACCTAGCGCTGCTCAGTACCAAATGCGATATCCTGTTGCCGTCCTACGGGGATGGGGCACACTAGCTCCGTTAGCCCTCCCAAGGAAAAAGAGGCGAGCTCACTAGCACGGTATCGACAGCCTCTTCCAGCGTTCCCAAAGTCAGGAACCACCTATCACCTGGAATGTTTGTTAAAACTACAGATTACGGCAGCCCAACCGGAATTTCTGAGGATGGTCCGGGAGTCTGGATTCCTAACAGACTCCACAGGTGGTTTTCACATGTGCGTGCTAAAGCTTACGAGCCACCCATTTAGGGGTTTTTTTGCTCAGCAATCTCTCCGCTAAACTGCTGCCAGCTTTGTGTGGCATTGGCTGTTTACCAGATAATTTGCTGTTTTGAAATTTAAAAGAAAAATTATAAAACTCTGCCTGGAATATAAATCTACCAGATGGATAGGTGTTTTCTGTCTCGAGACGTTAGGGTCCTTCACTAAAGAAGTTTGGGGTATTTCACACCATTGCTGGCTGTCGATTGTCTAAGTAGTTTATAAAGATCGTCGGGTGTTTTGTTCGCTTGCTTGCACGAAGTTAGTGATTTTAGGTGAATTGCTGTCTTCCCTCCCCAGCCCACCCCCAAAGATGTAAAAGGTATATTAAATTATGAAAACCATATCTCTTCGAGTGGGGAAAAAATGCACCCCGGGATTATGCCAAGTACGTTGGTGGTTCTGGACTTCACATGCAGCTGGGGCTTTCTTGAGAGCATCGCTCTAGCTCACTGCAGACAGGAGCTGCTTTCCTTGAAGCAGTGCCGCGTAGCAAGCATACTTACTGGTTTTGCTCCGCTCGCGTGTTTCCTTGGGCTGGCTGGGATGGAGAGAGGCCACAGATGGAAATGCTGGGGGTGGGCATCTCACATACACTGCCCCCTTGGAGGTACATCGGCATAGACGGGTGTCCGCAGATTTCCTCAAGGCCTCGCCGATCCAGTCAGAGAGAAGGGTTTCTCCTGAGCTTTTCTCACATCCTCTGTATGTGTTATGTTAACGGCGGTCTTTCTATATTAGCCACGTGTGAAAATGGTCCTGAATATCTGCAGACGTACACACGCAGGTAGGCCCTTCAGTGCTTTCAGAAACAAGGAATAAAATATTTTGTGGGGCATGGTGTATTGTTTACCATGAAAAGAACAAGCCGTGTGTGTGTTTCTGGTCCCATTTCCCCATCTTCTGGGAGTGATTTTGTCGCCTTGTAGGGAGACTAAGTGAAGGAAGCTGAGAGAGTAAGAATGAATGTTTGAGTTCAGTTTTGCTCACACCATATGTTCTTCGTGTTCCTTTTGAATATATTAAATCCAGGGTGGAATGACTGCCTCAGGACCTTGACCCGCACTTACTTTAAGAAATCATTCTAGCTCTTAAATTTCGGTGGTGAAGCCAGAGGCTAGTGCTCGAAATGTATTCACGGTGCTCACACGGCTCTTCTGCAGTCACGGATCCTTTACTGCCCCTTTTTATGCCTGAACTTTACATACTGGATTACTGATGTCAGTGGGAGAAAGAACAGGGCCTTGATTTAACACATCCTTACAGTAGTGGTGGTCTTTCTCTTCTGGGAAAGGAGAAAAAAACAGTGCCCCTGGAGTGTCATCGCCCTGGGAGGCGTATAGCTCTTTGCAGTGATTCATTGAGAATTCTGGTAAGAAGTCAAAAAGTAAGCATTTCAACAAAAGGAACAGTAAAAGCCACAATAAGGAAAGACCTTATGATCCATTTACTAAAATAAAATTTGCGATGTAAGGCAGGAGGACTAAATAAAACTGTTACTCTAAACCCTCTCCTTATTTGTCTCTCAAGATAATAACACAATGTAACTTTTGACAGTTTTTACATTTGCATACCCTAAATGCCCATTTAAGACTATATAACAGAGAATGAAGAAATTTAGGGAATTTCAAACCAACAGATATGCTTAAATTCATCTAAGTCTGATTGTTATTTTTTAAATATTTGTTTTTGAGAGAGAGCGCGTGTGTGCACGTGCACGGGGGAGGGGCAGAGAGAGAGAAAAGGAATCCCAAGCAGGCTCCCCGCTGTTAAGCACAGAGCCCGAGGCAGGGCTTGATCCCACCAGCCAACCATGAGATCATGACCTGAGCCGAAATCAAGAGTCAGACGCTTAGGGCGCCTGGGCGGGTCTGTCAGTTAAGTGGTTAAGCATGCGACTCAGGTCATGGTCTCACGGTCAGTGAGTTCGAGCCCCACATCGGGCTCTGTGCTGACAGCTCAGAGCCCGGAGCCTGCTTCGGATTCTGTGTCTCCCTCTGTCTCTGCCCCTCCCCCGCTTGCGCTCTGTCTCTCTCCCAAAAGCAAATAAACATTAAAAAAATACATTAAAAACAAAAAGAGTCGGACGCTTAGCTGACCAAGCCACCCAGGCACCCCGAGTCTGATTTTTAAATCAGTGTTAATTATTATCATTAATTATGATAATACATGTCGTCCCACTTCTTTAGGCTTAAAAAAATGTTTTGTGTATGTTAACACATTTCATGCACGAAGAAGAATATTACTGTTTTCTGTCTTTCAACAGTAATATTTAGGCATAATTTATTACAAATACTAACAGAACTATCCGTTAGAACCTTTGAAGATACAGGCCTTAACTGGAGCCGCGTGTCCGTGACTTTGCCACCTTCCCAGGATGGTGTGCCTGTCGTTCCTTGGAACCCACTCTGAATAAGTAGCAAGGACGTGTGGACTTTCATAAAGAAGCTCCTCTTTCCGCACGCCTCCTGCTCTTCCATTCTGTTCTTCTAAAAAGAGTGTTTCTTAATGTACAGATTTACTAATTCCTACAGCGCTAGACCCCAGAGAGAAAACTGCACGAAAGCAGCCCACAGCTCGGAGCAAGGCGGTCTGGTGTAATCTCTCTCAGCTGCTTTTCTGAGGTTTCACACATTCACAAAAATAACAGCATTTTTAGCTGATCCCAATAGATTTTTCTCTGCAGCTGCATCCCTTGAAAAAGCTTTTTGTTCCAGTTCTTAAAGTCTAAGTATTGAAAGTAATTTGGAAAAAAAAAAAAAAAAAGGGAGAAAGAAAGAAAGAAAGAAAAACATCCCAATTATGATTTGTGTGTGTGGTGATGACTTCAAGGGCTGACTGGCTGCAAATGGGCTCGGGAGCACAAGCCAGTGCGCCCGCGGAGAAGACGGGCGCTTCCCGGGGCATCCGTGGGCGCGCCGCCGTGCTCACGGGCACGTGGCGGGGTCGGCTTTTTTGGCAGGACCTCTGGTCTCAACCTGCAGAGATGCTAACGATATTAGCAAATTAGCACCACAAAGCTTGCCAGCTAATTCGCCAGAGCCCTGCTCACTCTCTCTCTGCTGTAATTAAAACTAATTATTTTCTAAAACATAGTAATACATGAATATGTGCAATAATCATTTCGTAGTGGGCAATCTGTAGAGCCTTTTTTAACGCTTCTTTTTTTTTTTTTTTTTTTTTTTTTTTTTTTTGGCACTTTATGCAACATGTGCACTGCCTTGGTTGAGCCAGCATTTTCGTTTGCAGAATGTAGAATGGGTCCTGTTCATAAAACCTCAGGTTTACTTTATTTTGAAATAGGAATGTTTTCTGGCTTTCACTCATTTACAAGGCTCATAATTCTCTCCACTCGCCCTTGTCTGTTTCCAACTCTCCTCACACATCTGTTTGTGTCGCACTCCCGGCCCAGTGTTGTGCAGATGGTTTTCACAGTGGGGTTCTGTAGAAATTCAGCTGTTATTCCCTGGATGTCTACACTGATTCCCTACTGTAGCCTTGTGCTTCCTTTAAAAAGAAATCTGAACCCATATTTTTAGCTTGAAAATGTCTATCCGTATGGGTAATAAATGCGTCTAAATCAGTTGTTCTTCGGAGAACCTTTCAATCTAAAGCCTGGATGAACTTGGTAGAATTTCTGAGCCTAGAGATGGAGAGTGAGTTTTGCCAGGGAGCGTAGAGTTGACTCTTGGGCTGCTGGGCATTTGAGCTGCTGTTGGGGATTGATAAGTGCACGTATGGTCCCAGACTGAAAGAAAAGCAGCCCCACTGCAAACTAATTAGAAATCCTTTCCTTCGAAAAGAACTTTTGATTACTGTTTTTGAAGTCATTTGTTACGATTGTTTTCCATCGTTGCAGACCAGGCCACATGGAATAGATAAGATTTTCAAATGAAACCATATATGTCAAATGAATTTGCCAACTACAGACTATGTAAACTTAGGAAATTAAGAAAGCACAACATCCTCTAGTCACCAGGTAGAAAATACACACATCCACTCTTTCCTTTCAACACCCGATGAGCAGTTTAAACAGTGGACTTCTTTCCACTTGTCACCTACTCCATTAAATAACGCTGTAATCATTTTGAGAAGATAACGTTGATACGAGTTGACTTTCAGTGGTGGGGTGTTGAATAAATGATTGCATTTGTGTTTTTTCTTTTTAAGTTAAAAAAGGACCACCAGAATATCGTGCTGTCTAGATGTCAGAAACGAGTGTGCTCTGAGTTACGATTTCTTTTTTCTTTTCTTCCTTCAAGGGAAATGCAAGTGCCCCACGCATCACTCAGTAACTTGTGTTAGCAGGAGCCCAGCCTGACGAATCACATGTATAATCCTAAACTCTTTCTCCTGTTTTCGATTAGCATCTATGGGTCTTGCAGATATGATGTCTCCTGGCGAATCCAAATTGCCCCTGCCTCTCAAAGCAGACGGTAAAGAAGAAGGCACTCCACAGCCTGAGAGCAAGTCGAAGGTATTTCCTTTCTCCTCTGCACGTGGTGTGGGGTCTGCCTCGCTGAAGCTGCCATGTTGTTCTGTAGTCACGGTGTTGGCCTACACTTTCGTCGCCATTTTCTTCTCTTCTGCATGCCTCCATTTTGTGCACCACGTTTGTAGTTTTCTTTCGTTTCCCCACCCCCCTTCATGGTGTGGATCTGAAAGTTACTAGTTCTTACGGCATTTAACTCCTGGCTGTGGGAGAGGGGAGGAGGGACGAGACCCACCCTGAGGAAAGCTTGCTTGGAGGGGGGGGGGGGGGGAGTCAGGGAGAAGTAAGGAACTGGTTTTGACTTTTTTGCAGCCATTTTCTCTGCCTTCAGTTTGCAGCCCTGTTTGGCAGCCTCATACTCTTTGCTGTCACCCAATATTTTGCTCCTGCCTTGTCATCAGGGTAGACATTTTTTTTTTTCCTTTCTTTCTTTCATAAGGGGTAACCCATGCTTAGCATTCCGTGTCAGCTTGAAGTAAGCATGGTGGCTTAGTGGCCTTCTCCGGCATCCAGCGAACTGACCAAATTCTACTAATTAAGAATGTTGTTCTAATACCTTTATATGTGTGTGTCTTTGTGTGTTTGTTCGTACATGTCTTTATATATATCCATTATATATAAAAATCAGTCTGTTAAACTGGATGTGCTTTTTGTTATTTTAAATAAAGTTTGCCCTACCTTTGTCATTTTTTTTTTTTTTTT